TTTAGCCTTTTCCCAATTAATTGGGGTCGGCTACAAGAATCCTGGTTCTCCATTATGCTATATTGAAGGTCATATCCTCAGTGAGGCCATAAGTCCACATACTTTTTCGGAATAGTTCCAACCACGTCCTTTTGAGCCTAACCCTTGTCTTTTTTAGTCCTTCCACTTGAACTAATTCACACCTCCTAACATGTGTTGTACTTGATCGGTGCCACACTTGGTCAGCCCACCTAAGTCTACTCTCTCTCATTTTTATTTATTATAAGGAATAATAAATAAAAATTTCAAACTAAACTTTATCTCTTATCTCTTAAAAACAAGTCTACCATATTCTAAGCAATCCAATTATACCAATCCCTATCCCTATCCCTATCCGTCTTTCTTAAAGAAAAAACTAATTATATTAATCCCTATCCCTATCCATCTTTCTTTAAAAAAAACTAAGCTTTTGATTTTACTCCTAAAATCTCTACAACTAAAAAAGACAAGAATAACCCTAAAGGAAAACTAAAAACCCAACCTAAATCTAAGAGTCTAAAAACAATAACATTAAAAAATAAAAAATAAAAAACCCACTGCGTCATTCTCCCGGTGTTGGAAGAAGCTCGATCTCGAGCTTTTTAAACTCAAATCTTTTAGGAGCCTTTTCAAAGTTGGTGATGCAGTCCCAACATTCTTCTAGGTACTTTTTTTTCTTCAAATAAACGGTTGATCCAACATGATTTGTAGTGGAAGTTTGAGACACCGAGCTTTGGAATACCAAACTGAATCTTGCTTTCTCCTTCAGGCTAACAAGGTGGTATTTCACAAGCTGCAACACACATCTTTTTCTTCACAATTGATTTTCAAAATTTCTTGCACGTTTGGGCTATTGACATCGTCTTTTGCATTGAGATTTACCTCTTCATATTCTTCTTCCTCTTGCTGCAATCTACTAAACTAATCTTGTAGACTTTGTTGTATTACTTTGTTGATTTGTTTTGTTTTCTTTGAGTCTCAAGTTTTTGATCTAATAGCTTAAATATTTGATCTACGCGCTCCTTAACTAGATCAGTAGTTGTTTGTGATTAGCAGGCATCTCAAGGCTCTGATACCAATTGATGCAGTGTCTACAAGAGAGTCCACCTCTAGGTTTGCATGAGAGTATAAAAATAAACTAGAAAATAAAGATTTGAGAGATTATACCCTCTCTTTGGGTCTGTAAGAGAGTCCACCTCAAGATCTTTTCGCAAGATCAACTCTTTGTTTATTCTCCAATCACTCTCCTTACAAAGAAGGGGCCTCTTCCCTTAAATACAAACTTAAAAAAATAATAAATAAAAATAACAAACTAAATGCTATCTCTCCTTTGTCTCTTAAAAACAAATCTAACATATCCTAACTAACCCAACCATACCAATCCCTATCCTTATCCATCTTTTTTTAAAAAAAATCTAACCTTCAAATTTTACCCCTAAAATCTCTACAACTAAAAAAGACTAGAATAACCCTAAAGAAAAACTAAAAACCCAACCTAAATCTAAAAATAGTAAAATTAAAAAATAAATATTAAAAAGCCCACTGCGTCATCTTCTATCCATAACAATTTGTACCCCTCCAACAATGTAGTTCTCCCAACATATAAGGCTTGGCATACTCCAATCTCTCGAGGGTCTCCATTGCTGGTCATCTCCAGTGTTCGAATAGTTGGCCTTCAGGCCGCCTAGGCAGACTTTTTCAAAAAGAAAAAACTAGGCGTGGGTAAGGCAGGCAGCATTAGGCGGAATCCTCTAGGTGCCCAAGACGACTACCTTGAAAATATGATAATTAATTTGTAATTATTAATTTATTAATTCATATTTATTAATTTATTGATAGTTATTGATTATTAATTTAACAAAAATACTTTTTGAGAGTGATAGTAATTATTAATTTATTGGTAAACCAAAAGATAATATTAATTCGTAATTATTAATTATCGAAAATGCTTTTTGCATGTAACAATAATTGTTAATTTATTGATAATCAAAAGGTATTATTCATTTCTCAAAAACGCTTTTTGCATGCAACAGTAATTATTAATTTATTGATAAACCAAAAGATATTTTTAATTCATAATTATTAATGTCTCGAAATGGTTTTTGCATGTAACGATAATTATTAATTTATTGATACACCAAAAGATAATATTAATTTGTAATTATTAATTTATCGAAAATGCTTTTTGCATGTGATGTGAATTATTAATTTATTGATAAACCAAAAGAAAAATATTAATTTGTAATTATTACTTTATCAAAAATGCATTTTGCATGTGATAGTAATTATTAATTTAAGTCAAAAGATAGTATTAATTCATAATTATTAATCTATCAAAAATATTTTTGCATGTGATAGTAATTATTAATTTATTGGTAAACCAAAAGATAGTATTAATTTGTAATTATTAATTTCTCGAAAATGCTGTTTGCATGTGATAGTAATTAATTTATTGGTAACATGTGACAATAATTATTAATTTATTGGTAAAACATAAAAATAGCATTCATTCGTAATTATTATTATATATTATACACAATAAAATAGGAGGAGGTGTGGGTATCCAACTTACAAAAAAAAGACAATACAGGCCACCTTTGGGTCTGGATGCTTGCCTCAGCGCCTAGGTGGCCTAGAGCCCCGCCTAGGTGGCCGCCTATGCCTCCTTGAACATTGGTTATCTCTAGGAAGGCTCTTACCAAATCCTAAAGAGAGGCATCCCACTTCCCAACTGATATGTTATGTGCTAGCAATCAGTGGAAGCTCTTGACCACTTGCTCATCCATTGCCATTGCTGCCCAGATCTGCGCTATTATCCTGGGCCTCTTTGACTGGGTGGGAGCTTGGCTTGAAAATGTCTAACAACTATTCTCCTGATATTTCTGTCCACAATTTCCTGCTGCCGAGCTCTTCCTTTGGTGGGCCACTGTGTTGGCCTCTATTCGGTCTTTATGGCTGGAAAGCAGTTCTAGAATCTTTGTGAGTAAAAAGGTAATTGAGGGCCTTAAGGACAACATTAAAGCCACATTGATCTTTTGGGCTAGAAAGCAGGACATCATTGGCTGGTCTCGGCTTCATCCAAAACACAAGACCCATGGAGATTTCCAGATCTAATCTATGGTTGCCTCTAATCTAGGAGTGCTAACTAGTGTGTGAACAACTAGTGGAGAGACGAGTGGGTTTTTAGCGACAATAGGTCTGGTCAACATTGAGCCTATACCTCTCTTTGTATTAGTTATGTATGCCTTAACTAGGCATCTTCAAGATGAGATACCATGGTGTATATTGTTTGCGACGACATAATTTTGAGGGATAATCTAGAATCTAAAAGTTTTAAAATTAGCCGGACTAAGACAAAGTATATAGAATGCGATTTTATTAACAATAGGAGTAGAGACGATGAAGTAGTTACTATTGACGACCAAGAAATACCAAATGACCTCACTTTCGCTATCTTGGGTCGATAATCCACGAAAATGGAGAGATTGACGAAGATGTCACAAATAGACTTAGAGCTGGGTGGGCGAAGTGAAGATGCACAACCGGAGTTTTATGTGATCGCCGCATACCAATGAAGCTAAAGGACAAGTTCTATAGGACAGCTGTGAGATTAGCTTTGTTTTATGAGGCGGAATATTGGGTGGTCCAGAAGCAACATACCCATAGAATGAGTGTACCTGAGACGACGATGTTGAGATGGATGAGTGGCAAGATAAGAAGGGATAGAATTCAAAATAAATATATTCGGGAGAATTTAGGTGTGACACCAATAGGCGATAAGATGAGAAAAAGTAGACTTAGGTGGGCTGGCCATGTGTAGTGCAGAACCAGTACCTGTTAGTGTAAGGCTAAAAAATGGCAAAGGGTAGGCCCAAAAGGACATGGTTGGAAGTAGTGAGAAAAGATATGGGGGACTTTAGCCTCATATTGAGGGTATGGCTCATAATAAAGCAGAATGGCGGGGCAGATTCATGTAGCCGATCCCAATTAGTTGAGAGGCTTTGATGATGATGATGATGGTTGCCTCTACCTCTTGGTGCCATCTAGCTCAACTTTGATTATTGCTCCCTAGGCAACTCGGGCCCAACACTTGTTAGGGGGATCTTTAGATCGAATGGGCCCGAACTCTTAATGTCCCACACAAGTCCCATTAGTGCAGCAAACTCCACCAAGGCGGAGGCTGTCGGATTGTTGGAGGGTCTTAATTTTTTCGACTTGAATTGGGTCCACTCAGTTGAAGTGGAAGTGAATTCAAGGAGTGTTATTTAATGGGCCTTCTTGGCACTGAGAATAACTGTTTGACTGAATTTTTGAAATTTTTACTACTTCACGAGTCTCCTTCAAGCGCATGTGGCATCAGGCAAACACAGCTGCAGATGCATTTGCAAAGCAAGGTCCAATGCCTATGGTTTTGCTCTAATAAGGGCTCATTCCTGAATAGAACGTTGTGTAGTTCATTGTACAAATAACTCCCTTGGTCCATGTCTATTTTATGAAAATAGTTCATTGTACAAATAGTTCATTGTACAAATAACTCCCTTGGTCCATGTCTATTTTATGAGAAGGCGTTCATAAATCGAATAGAAGTTCTGTACGGAGGATATATTGTTTTGGATTTGTTCCAAAAAAGAGTCAGATTATGCAATGATCAGAATGAAAAAGAATGCTTACCCAAAATGTATAATCCCTTTTTAAACGGATCCTACTGTAATGCAACCATGAAAATCCTTCTTAACTATGTTAATACAAAGTCAATTTTTTCTTAAAAATCGAAGGTAGATAACCTATTGAATTATCCTTTTCCCTTGTTTTTGATGGATTGTATTGTTATCATATCTGAAGAAGTATCTATGATTATTTTGATCAGTCATGGAAGTAAATAGATGCATCATGACATAAAAGTACGTAATAGTTTACCTGCCAGTTTCCTTGAATTTTATCATTTGGCTCATCAACTAATGGACATTCTCAATGATGCTCAGGTCCATTACATTTCTTTCTCAGCACACGCTGATTATGGCCAGACCTTTGAATTTTTAAAGGATCTCATGCCTCCAAACATAATCCTCGTTCATGGTGAGGCAAATGAGATGGGGAGGCTGAAGCAAAAGCTCCTTGCACAATTGCCTGATAAAAACACAAAAATCCTCACTCCAAAGAACTGCCAAACTGTTGAGATGCATTTCAATTCAGAGAAGATGGCAAAAGCAATAGGCCAGTTAGCTGAAAAGATTCCAAAAGAAGGTGAAAAAAGCTTGTCCCGTAAAATGCAGCTTATTAAATTGTAGGTTTATGATAAATATCAGAATGAATTTTGGATGGTATGACAATGTTGGGGTTTAAGGAGTGGATAGTTTTTGTGATCATCTGCCTGCTTCCTCCTCTTCTTTTACTTTTATTTGACCTTTTTAATTTGAACATATATTGAATTGTGACTGATTAAGAAAAAAGAAACAAAATTGGAAATCTATTTCTTGCAAACTAGTTCCATGATTCAAACTGTGCTAATCAACCTTCCTTTGTCATACTATTATAACCACCTTTTCTTGCCCTTATTTCATTTTCTTTTTTTTTTCCAAAGGTGAACATGTAAATGGGTTGCTTGTCAAGAAAGGCTTCACATATCAGATAATTGCGCCAGAGGACCTCCACATATTTACGCAGTTATCAACTGGAAACATAGCCCAAAGGATCTCAGTCCCTTATGAAGGTGCATTCAGTGTGATAAGGCACCGATTAAAGCAAATATATGAAAGTGTAGAGCCGTTGGATGACCCAACTGAAAGTCCCCCAGCTCTTCTTGTCCACGATCGAGTTACAGTGAAGCAAGAAAACACTAAATGTGTCTCAATACAGTGGTCCACAGACCCAATAAGCGATATGGTCTCTGACTCAGTCGTGACTGTCATTTTGAATATAAATAGAGGAATTGCAAGAGTGGGGGTAATGGGAGAGGGGGTCACCGAGGAAGAGATGGAGAGGACAGCTGAGAAGGTGGTTTTGGCACTTCTTAATTCACTCTTTGATGATGTGAAGAGGGTGGCTGGAGAGGAAGGGAAGATGGTGGTTTCGATTGATGGGGTTGTTGCAACTGTTGATAGCAAAAGTGGGGTTGTGGAGTGCGAGAATGAGGGTCTCAAGGAGAGGTTGAGGACTGCTCTTCGAAGGATCAAGAGTGCCGTGAAGCCGATCCCTCTTCAGAAGGTCTGTTAGTGGGTGGTATGTTTTTCTCTTAGATTGCTTTTTTTTTAGAATCCTTTGTTAATTTATTTGTTTCCTTTCAAAAAAGAAGAGAGGGGAATGGGGCTTTTAGGAAATAAAATTATGCCATAATTTTTTGCTTGTTTCTTCTCGTTCATGGCAGATAAGTCCATTCTGTTACCTGGAAAGGAAATTGTAAGTAAAAACCTTATGGGGTATGGAAAGACCCAACTGCATTGGGTCCTTACTATCCATTGAAATGATTGAGCATGATGAAGATTGACGGGCCTTCAGCAATAGGGAATGATCCCGATGTGGGGACCTCTGTCTCTCTTTATCACCCTTTGTCATTCCAATTGACGGTGATAATTTAGTGGATTATGGTTTCGGAGTCTTTTGGATGGTCATGTACTTTCCTATTCTAAATTGCTTGAAGTTGTTAAAAGTCATTGACAATTGCCCTGAAGTACCTTCCTCTTCTCGTTAAACTCTATACTCCTTTATTACTATAATTAAACGTCAACATTCTCAAAAAAGTTTTCCCTGAAGTACCTGTTAAGTTGCAATTTGTGGGGGGCTCTTATTTTGGTTAATTTTTCTATTTCTTGAATGCAAATGAACAAAAAAAAACTCATTGCCTACATTTTTATATCTGAAACTAATCATTTATTATGTGGCATATCAGGCATGAATTTTGGAGTGCTTTAAGTCGGGCCTGATAGAGAGGGATTGCTCATGGCTTGTATCTATTTCTGATCACTCACTTCAGATGGTTGTTTTCCTTGTTCGTCACTTTTGTGGTAGTTCTTTTATTTGAAGGGAGAGAGGGGGAAAAAAAAAGATTGGATGGATAACTAATATGCATTACTTAAAGTCATTTGACATTATGGTTCTCACTCAGGCATGGATATTGGAGCAGTGGACCAGCTGAGAAGGACTTGTTAGTAACTGTTTTTGCATTTCTTTTTACAGTCGTTTTTTGCTTCTGAGGAAGAGAAGAATTTTAATTGAACTGGCTCCAGGCTTGGTGCGGCTTGATCACCTGACTAGCTCATAGTAGCCATCTGGTCGTTGTAAAGATACTCATTTCTTTCCCTATCTTTAAAGAAAGAAGGAATGTGGATAAATATATGGGGGAAAAAAATATGAATTGAAGGACATTGACACAATTTCGCTGTATCTTAATATTGTGGTTTAAGTTGTTTGAAAATGTGGATTTATGACCATAACTGCTCTGGTTTTATTGACGCATCACTTCTAATTTTGCCCTTTTTTTTATGACATGATATTGAATTTATTAATCCAATTTAAATGACGTTACATGTTAGGCCATGCAAGTTCTTGTTTTTCTGTGTCACGGGTTGTTTCTTAATTTTGATGAGCCAAAATGTCTTATTTCTGAGTTTTTGTTTTTAGTTTTCTAAATGACTGTGATCATGCAGTGCAAATCAGAACAGCCTTGGAAGAAACCAGTGTAGGAAGCACGAACTGGGAACGGAAAAGGCCTTAAATGGGTAGGTGTCCAAAACGCGTTTAAAAAAAATAAAAGAATATATAAAAAAAGTCTCAAAAAATAGGAAAAATATGTTTAAAATAACATAAAACAAAACCATCTAAATGAGGGTAAAAAAGTAGTGAAAAATCAATTATAAAAATCAATGTGACTGGCGATATTTTAAAGAGTAATGATTTTATAGGATTTTTGATCTCAAAGGATCACCATTAAATTTGGTATGGATCCCTAAAAAAATTATCACATGGGTGTGGAGTTTGATTTTTTTAGAGATCCGTAATAAATTTAATAGAGACTTTTTGGAGTTTTACCTATATGGGTGGAAGAGATCTTATAATCATTTCCTTAGTTTAAAAATAAGTAGCAGATTTAACGCGCAAATCAAAAGGAGGCCGGGGGATTTCCTAGTATCATTTTCAAAAAGGGGACCAGGGCCTTCCCAGTCTCTCAATTTCTCACTTTTGGTTTTCCTAATATCATCCGTTATTTCCAATCTCTTCTTCTGCTGTCTCTCCTCTCTCCTCTTTCCTCTCTCTCCTCAAAGCACGAGTAATCTATATAAAAAGGAAAAGGTTAAAAGAGGCAACTGCGTTGTACCATAGGCAAAGTGCCTCATTCTATACTCTATATATATATATAGGCAAGGGGCCTCATTCTATTATATATATATATATATATATATATATGAAAAAAAGTTTCATAAGGATGCTACATTATATGTAGAACTACGGATGCCCCTCAAAAATCTATCAGAAAAGTTAATTGTAATGTTGAAAAACCTTTTGATTGATCATCTCGACATTGAGACGTATGACTATGAAAAATAAAAAAATTTTAAGTCTCAAAATAGTATATTTTACAACATATTATCTACACCGTCCATTTTCAAGATTTTCATATGTTTATAGATCTACTTGATTTTAACCATTTTTTAAATTT